TTACCTATTAGCCTTTTAATATCCATGCAATCAGTAGTGATGACCCCTCTTCAATTTCTCATATTAGTAATTTGTGCCTTCTTTTTTCTTGGTTAGCTTGGTTAGACATTTTAATTTTTATTTGTCTTTTCAAAGAATCTGTTTGTTTTCTTAGATTTGTCTATTCATTTTCCATCTTCAATTTTGATTTCTGCTCTGCTTTAAAATTTATTTTCTCCTGCTTGTTTTAGGTTTATATTGCTTTCTTTTTCCACTTTCCTTGGTAGAATGTTCAATTACTGTTTTGAGATCTTTCTTCATTTTTTAAATGATGGGGATCAAACACATCAAACAAGTGCCCTTGTTTTCTAGTATGTGTGTTCAATGCTATGAATTTCTCTTTAAGCACTGTTTTCACTGTATCTCACTAATTTTGGTAGGCTTTGTTGGCATTTCCATTTAGTTAAAAAATTGATCTCTCATGAGACTTCTTTGTTTTCACTTTCTGAGTTGTGTTTTGTTTTCTGTTTTGCACTGCTAGGGATGGAACTCAGGGCCTCACATATGCTAGGCAAGTGCTCTACCACTAAGCTATACACCCAGCCCCTATGTGATATATAGAAAGGATTATGTTATTTGCAAGTAATTTTTGTCTGTTATCTGTTATTGACTTGTAATTTAAATCTATTGTAGTTTGATAACATTCTCTGTATGATTTTTATTCTTTTAAATTTATTAAAGTGGAGAAAAAAATAAATGTATTAAAGTATATTTTATGAGACATCTGAATATTCCATATGTGCTTGAGAAGAATGTGTATTCTGTTTTTGGTGGATGAAATATTTTATAAATCTCAATTACATCTAGTTGATAGATGGCAGTATTCAGTTGAACTATGTCCTTTAGGTACTGATAGATGTTGAAGTTTCTAACTATAATAGTGGATTTTTATATTTCTCCACACAGTTCATTTTTTAAAAATTTTATTATTAATATGTGCATACAAGGCTTGGGTTATTTCTCCCCCCTGCCCCCACCCCCTCCCTTACCACCCACTCCGCCCACTCCCTCTCCCCCCCACCCCCTCAATACCCAGCAGAAACTATTTTGCCCTTATCTCTAATTTTGTTGAAGAGAGAGTATAAGCCATAATAGGAAGGAACAAGGGTTTTTGATGGTTGAGATAAGAATAGCTATACAGGGAGTTGACTCACATTAATTTCCTGTGCGTGTGTGTTACCTTCTAGGTTACTTCTTTTTGATTTAACCTTTTCTCTAGTTCCTGGTCCCCTTTTCCTACTGGCCTCAGTTGCTTTTAAGGTATCTGCTTTAGTTTATCTGTGTTGAGGACAACAAATGCTAGCTAATTTTTTAGGTGTCTTACCTATCCACACCCCTCCCTTGTGTGCTCTCGCTTTTACCATGTTCTCAAAGTCCAATCCCCTTGTTGTGTTTGCCCTGGATTTAATGTCCACATATGAGGGAGAACATACGATTTTTGGTCTTTTGGGCCAGGCTGACCTCACTCAGAATGATGTTCTCCAATTCCATCCATTTACCAGTGAATGATAACATTTCGTTCTTCTTCATGGCTGCATAAAATTCCATTGTGTATAGATACCACATTTTCTTGATCCATTCGTCAGTGGTGGGGCATCTTGGCTGTTTCCATAACTTGGCTATTGTAAACAGTGCTGCAATAAACATGGGTGTGCAGGTGCCTCTAGAGTAACCTGTGTCACAGTCTTTTGGGTATATCCCCAAGAGCGGTATTGCTGGATCATATGGTAGATCAATGTTTAGCTTTTTAAGTAGCCTCCAAATTTTTTTCCAAGTGGTTGTACTAGTTTACATTCCCACCAACAGTGTAAGAGAGTTCCTTTTTCCCCGCATCCTCGCCAACACCTGTTGTTGGTGGTGTTGCTAATGATGGCTATTCTAACAGGATCTCCACACATTTCTAATAGGTTTTGCCTTGTATATTTTGATGCTCTGTTGTTAGTTGTATACACATTAAGGATTGTTATATCTTCTTGGAAAACTGATCCCTTTATTGTTATATAATGCCCCTCTTTATCCCTGATAATTTTCTTTTCTCCAAAGTGTGCTAAATGTGAAATTAATTCAGTTACTCAAGTTCTTTTCTTTTCTTTCTTTAATTCAAATCTAAAACTTTAAGTGATACACAGAAAATAAGAGTTATACATATTTATGGCATGCCATGTGATGTTTTGATATATATGTATATATTGTTTATGTTTAGATAGAGCTAAATATGTTTATCTCAAATGCTAATCATTTCTTTGTGGTGAACACACTAAAAATCCTTTCTTCTACCTTTTTGGAACGTGCAGTACGGTCTTATTATCTATAGTCACCCTCCTGTACATACAACAGCACACCGAAACTTCTTACTCCTATCCAACTAAGTACCCATTGATCAACCTCTCCCCAATTCTCCTTCCTCTCTACTCACTCCAGTCTCTGGTAACCACCATTGTATTCTCAGTTACTGTGAGACCAGGTTTTTATGCTCCACATGTAAGTGAGATTATGTGATACTGGTTTTTCTGTGCCTAGTTTATTTTACTTAACAATGATTCCATCCCTGTTGTTGTGAATCACAGAATTTCATTCATTTATGGCTGAATGGTACTCCATGGTGTGTATATCACATTTTCTCTCTATTCATCACTTGATGGACACATAGACATGTGAATGTGGATGTCTCTTTGACTTACTGATTTCGTTTCCTTCTGGTATACACCCAGTAGTGGTACAGCTCGGTCATATGGTAGTTCTATTTTTAATTTTTAGAGCAACCTCCATACTGTTTTCCATAATGGCTATGCCAATTTACATTCCCACCAAGAGTGTGCAAGGGTTGCCTTTTCTCCACATCCTCACCAGACTCATTTCATTTTGGCTTTTTATTAATAGCCATTCTTACTGTGGGAGGTGATTTCTCATTGTGGGTTTGATTTGCATTTCTACTTGTGCTTTTGTTTCCTGTGCTTTTGCAGTTTTGTCAAAAAAAAAAAAAATCCTTACCTGTTCAAATGTCCTAAGGCATTTCCTCCATATTTTCTTCTAGAAGTTTCATTTCCTCCATATTTTTTCTTCTAGTAGTTTCATCACTTCACTTCTTATATTTAAGTCTTTAATTCATTTTGAGTTGATTTTTGTAACTGATAGAGATAGTAGTCTAGTTTCATTCTTCTGCATATGATATGTAAATTTTCCCAACACCACTTATTGAAAAGAAAGTCCTTTCTCCAGTGTGTATTCTTAACACTTTTGTCAAAAATAAGTATATATGTGGGTTTACTTACAGGGTCTCTATTCTTTTCCATTGGCCTTTGCGTCTGTAATTTTGCTGGATGCAGAATTTTAGGTTGGGAAGGTTTTTGCTTTCTTTCACCACTTTAAATATTTTAGTTTATTCTTTTTGCTTCCATAGTTTCTGATAAGAAGATTCATATAATTCTTTTCCTTAATTCCTGTGCAAATAAGGTCACCCCAACCCCCAGCTTCTTTGAAGATTTTCTCTTGGCCTTTGGTTTTCTCCAGTCTGAATATAAGCCTAGGAGTTGATGGGAGAGGGGTGGTATTCATCCTGCTTGTTGTTCTCTGAGCTTCCTAGACCTGTGAATAGTGTCTCTCATGAATTTTGGAAAATTCTTGGCCATTGTATTTTTCAAATACTTCTGCTTCATTTTTTTCCTGGAATTACAGTCACACATATTTTACATTTTATGGATTTACCTTGAAATTTTTAAGTGTTTGTTTCCCCTTCCTTTCTTCACCTTCCTTCCCCCTCCCTCCCTCCTTCCCTCCCTTCCTTTCTTTTTTCCCCATTCAGTTTGGAAAGTTTCTATTAACTTATCTTCAAGCTCGCTGATTCTTTCCTTGGTTGTGTCTAGTATATTCATGAGCCCATGAAAGGTACACTTCATTTTTCTTCTAGCATGTTTGATGTCTAGCATATCCTTTTGTTATCTGTTAGTTTCCATCTCTGTGTTGGAGTTACCATCTGTTCTTGCATATTCTTCTTCCACTAGTACTTTTATCATATTACATAGTTTTCAATTCCATGTCTGATGATACCAAAATCTGTGCCATATCTGAATATGGTTATGACAATTGCTTTATCTCTTCAAACTGTGCTTTCCTTGACTTTTCATATGCTTATTGTTGCTTCTTTAAAGAAAGACAGGATAATAGGTTGTAGAAATAATCAGTAATTAGATTTTCAATATGAAGTTTTATACTAATTTGTTTAGGAGTTGGGGTATTTAATGCTTGCTATATCTGTAGGTTCCAGAGTCTTCAGTTTCCCCTAATGCCCTTTTAAAATTTTGTCTCACCTATTGGTTTTGGGTTTCCCTAAGAACTCTTTCTTAAATAGGGTCTGTGTCTTACAACTCTCTCAGTTGTCACATGCTATTGCACACATTATTGATTAGGTGCTAAATGTACATGAGAGTATAAGTTGTCTACAATTTTAGGATTAATCTCATTATTTTATTGGATCTCTCCTTTGGCTTTGTACTTCAGAAGTTTTCTTAGTCCCTCTGTTCCCTTTAGGTAGGACAGGAAGTCTAGAGGTGACTGAATTATCTAATAACTGCCTTTCCTTCAGATATATCAGGCTTTGATAAAGTTGTATAATCCTTGAAGAGCAGTCATTTGTTATAGAGAGTGCTCAGGTTGTGTTTCAAAATTATTTTCCTTCATTCTGCCCGAAAGAATTTTTTTCTTGAATCTTCACTGTGAGAATTTTGTGTTATTTCTCAAAGTAAAATCCTTACAAGTATAGGGAATCTGTAAGTCTGGGGCCCCAGGGATTTTTAACTCTCAATCTAGTCCACATTTATCAAAAATATTTAAGTGTCCTGTATCCAAATTCAGGTCCTGACATTTAATTGCAAATATTACCTTGTATGAGTCACTTTACCTGTCAACCTCAAGTTGCCTTACCAGTAAAATAAAAATAATTCCAAACAAATATAGGTATGTCAATGGTGAATAAGAGGACAGATGTGAGGAAGTTTACCACAGAATCTGGCGTGTTTCTTTCAGGTATCTCATAAATACTAGCTTCCCTTTTCCGTTAAGGTACCGATGCTTAAAAATAAGGACTGTTATTAGTCCAGACCATTGCAAACATTTATCCTGGGAGCATAAAAAGTTCTTATAAAGTATCTGCCATTCTTGTAGTGCTGGAAAACTGCCTTGGGGAAAAAAAAAGCTGCTTCTGTAGGGACTGTCTTATTTTACAGAGCTTGAAAGGGATTCCATGGTTCATTTATTTTTCTCTTCTTCCAACCCCAAGTATGTGCTCCTTTTTAAAAATAATTCCCAGCCTACTACTGAAAAGGTCCATAAAAGCACATTTCTTTTTGTCTGGATCGGAATACAGGAACATCAGCCCCAGACACTAAGGACAGTCATTTTGCCACAGTGATAGGCTGTATGTCCTGAGGGGACAGTAGAAGAAGTTACTGAACCATTTAGAGAAAGGTATAGTCTGATCGTTCCCTTCACCCATCAAACCATATCTGGGGAATTGTGTTCTTTGTTGAGTATCATAATTTAAGGAGGACATTGACAGCATTAAAGCATGTCCAAATAGTAGTGACCAAGATGGTGGTGGGGACGTCTAGAAATCTAGAAACCTTGCTATATAGGACAGGTATTAACTCAGTTTATTGGATTTATTTGTATGATGTATCTTTCTATGTACTGTTTAAAAAGAATATTTTCTGTTCAGTGCCAAATATTTCATGATAGCTCTGATTTTACATTGTTTGTTCTAGTGTTCACTAGACATAACCCTTGCCTTCTTCCCAAGAAAGAGATACAGGCAAATGTTCCCTAGCTGAAGTGTACATAACTGACCAAAAGATCAATGGACTAAACTCCCTTGCTCTTATCCCTTGACCTTATCTCATGAAACCTCAAGGTGCCAAGTAAAGCTGAGCATCCCTTTCCAGTTAGTATTGGTTCCTGTCAATCTCCCTGGAGCCTTTGCTTGAGCACTTGTGGTTTGTTCTATCATCCTGGGACACAGAAGTAAGGGGGTTGGGCAAAACCCAGAGATATGCTAAGTGGATTCTGAGCTATGGAATTTGGAGTGGACAACACATGTGAGCTTGAGGGTCACTATGAATCCCTAGCCCTTTCTCCCTGAAATATGTGTTGTTGCTATTCTTTCTGCAGAAGAGTTCGTGATCTTTTGTAATTTTCCTTCCCTGTTGATTCAGCAGTGCTAGTAACAGAAACTTTTAAGGAAAGTTTATTGACAGCAGAATCTGTGGATTTTCCTGCCATATATCTTGTACATTAGAGAACAGATGCCCTGTGTATTTCTGATAAAATTTGCCTTGTAGAGAATACATCTTTCTGTGGCTTGTGTGATTAAGATCTGTAAGGGATGGCATGTCCACTGCAGTCTTCTCCCTTCCCTTACTTAGTGCTGCCCTGGGGCAAAGGTGGAAGTGCCACTGTGCTTTATTGGTCTTTGGACTGCAGTTTCTTCTAGCTCACTTTAATTCAGAGAGGGAAGCCGATGGGAAAATAATGAGTTTAAAATAGAGCTTAGCTTTCTACAAAGATTTTTGAGGATCTGTGTGTTGGCCGAGAGCAGCTAGAATATAACTGTCACTGGGAGACACCAGTTAGTATTGATTACTTCTACTTTGTAGCCTTGTAACCTAAAATATTTTCACTCAGCTGAGTTTCATCACCTGTTAAATACCAAATTCAAAAGTTGGTTGTAAAAAGTAGTTGTCACAGCATACTTGTAAATATACTTACGAACTCTAAACCATACATATTGTGAATATTTCTGAGACAAGAATGGTGTATCACTTATGTCCACCTAGCCAGAATTTATATACCCCCTGGAACCTAGCACGGAGCCTAATACATAATAAATGACTGCTAGCTGAAATTTAAATGAATAAAGTTAAATCGAAACACTTGTAATGATTTTTAAAAACTCATCAACTAGTCCTTTGTATTCAGCTAGAAGATCTCTTGGCCTCATTCAACTTTCAGATTGAAGAATAGAGAATAATGTAGCTCGTGGAACTGGGAAGATGATTGATTATATATGATAGATAAGCACTCTAGGAATTGTTTAATGTTCTAAAGAAAACAAAACAAGTAAGTGAATATGCAGTAATTGATGGAAAGGAAAAATTTTCCCCTGGGTCACACAGCTGTAAAGTGAATGTTATCAACACAAACTAGTGTCTGCCAGTGATCATTGCACACTAGCTGCCCTCAGACCTGCAGCCATCGACATATCCTCAAAAAACCTTTGTAGAAAGTTCAGTTCTGGTTTAAACTCATTGTTTTCTATGTGGGCTTAGAAGCTCTGTAGAATACACTGGTATCTGCTCAACATTTCTGGGTATAAACTCGAGGGAAGACTCTAGGGAACATGTTTATCTTGTGAGGGATCGAGGGCAGATGGTCATGGCACAACCTAGAGCTCACTTCCACCACAGATGACTGAAATGTTGGACTAAGTGATCCCAAGGAACTGCTGGAGTACAGTCTCTCTAGTAGTCTGAAAATGGTAATAATTTGATTTTTCAAGGCTCATGAATTGGCATCATTTGGAGTACATCTGTTATGGACCTTTGCATTTTGGAAGGAATTGAAAGAAAGTACTAAGTTCATTTTAAACATCTCAGTAAACTTGGTTTTTTTAATTTGTTTTTAAACTCTTCAATCTTGAAAAAGTTATTATTATAGTTGTTTTTTCCTCCCCTCATATAAATGTGGAACTCTGAATTTTTGGGATAATTTGTGTCTAGAATGTTTCAGTTTGGAGAAAATGAGATGGTGACATTACTACTTTCTCTCTCAAACCAATGACACTAATTGGGCTTTATGCCAGAGGCTGGAGCAGCAGATGTAACTGTGCTTTTGTGGTCTCTGTAGTGTAGACAAGGCTTCCAAGCCATGTGGAAGCTAAAGCTACCAAGGAAGCAGAGTAGGTCTCCTTCCAGATGTTCATCTTGCAGTTATTTTCAACATCAAATGTATAGATAAGTGCATAGATTGGTTTTTTTTACCATCCATGTACACATTCAGTGGATAAATTCCATTTCCATTTCTGGCAATCTGTCAGACAGCTCCCTTTAAAGTTATCTGGAGAAAATCTACCAAAAATGATTAAATTCATGATAGCTTTTATTCTTGGCTAATAGCTTGCCTCTCCTCTGGGGCTGAGCAGGCTCGAATTCTTATGTGAGTTTATACAGTATATGGTTTGTTGTCAAATATTTATCTCTGTCTAAAAATGAAATGTCCTGAAATACAATTTCTAACTGACTAAATCAATGAAAGAGAAATAACTTCTCATTTAGCCAATATTTAATAAATATTTTCATTAAAGGCTGAAATGTGAACTGCATCCTGATTTTTGTCATTTGAAATATAATTTGTGTGTTTAAGAATTTATGTGCACATCAAAGTTTGGACTTCATGTTCAGAAAGGAAAATTGATTTATAGGAGTAAACAATTGGAGAAGTATAGGCAATGCCAGAAATCAGTGTGAGTCAATTATTTAAGGCAAATGGGACCTTAATCACCAAAGCAATAGAGAAATAATCAAATTCAATTATACTCTAGATTTCCATGCTTTAATTTGTGGTCATTTCTTTGTCTTGTATTTTACAGAGGCTTTTGAAATTGTTGTTCGCCATGCCAAGAACTACACGAACGCCATGTTCAAGAACAACTACCCAAGCCTGACCCCTCAAGCTTTTGAGTTTGTGGGTGAATTTTTCACAGATGTGTCTCTCTACATCTTGGGTTCTGACATCAACGTAGATGATATGGTCAATGAATTGTTTGACAGCCTATTTCCAGTCATCTATACCCAGCTAATGAACCCAGGCCTGCCAGAGTCAGCCTTGGACATCAATGAGTGCCTCCGAGGAGCAAGACGTGACCTGAAAGTGTTTGGAAATTTTCCCAAGCTTATAATGACCCAGGTTTCCAAGTCACTACAAGTCACTAGAATCTTCCTTCAGGCCCTGAATCTTGGAATTGAAGTGATCAACACAACTGACCACCTGAAGTTCAGCAAGGACTGTGGCCGTATGCTCACCAGGATGTGGTACTGCTCTTACTGCCAGGGACTGATGATGGTTAAGCCATGTGGTGGCTATTGCAACGTGGTCATGCAAGGCTGCATGGCAGGTGTGGTGGAGATTGACAAGTACTGGAGAGAGTACATTCTGTCTCTTGAAGAACTAGTGAACGGCATGTACAGAATCTATGACATGGAGAATGTCCTCCTTGGTCTCTTTTCAACAATCCATGATTCCATCCAATATGTTCAGAAGAATGGAGGCAAGCTGACCACTACCGTGAGTACCAGGTCACAGTTTTCAGAGGAAAACTGGGGCCTTACTGGGGCCGGGTGGCCTGTCTAGCAGCAGGTGCAGATAGAGAGAAAAACAGAGAATAAAAAAAATAGAGAGTGGGCAAGGATGACTGATGAACTAAATGACCTCACAGAGCTCGGCAGCACCTTAAATCCACAGACTACAGTGTCATAAAACCTGGCTTTGAATTTTACCTCCACTCACTTTGTTGCTGTGGGACAGTGGAGAATAATTTTATCTTTATGAACTGCATTTTTCTGATTCATGAAATAGGGATAAAAAGATCTTCTTTGTAGGGAATAACATGTATTAAAGTACCTAGCATCTGTCCAGAAGATGTTAAGTCTTCCATGAATGTTACCTACTATTAGTTGTCAGTTATCATAGTCTGCGCATGGTAATCCTGTGAAGTGAGAGATATCATCTCCATCTTATAAACAAGGGAACCGAACTCAGTGAAATTGCAGCTTGCCCCAGGGCATCCAGCTATGGTTAGTGGAAGACCCATGATTCAAAAGTTGACTTGGTATCCCTTTTATTTAGTTATCACTAGCTTTTCTGATTGTGATTTCACTCTTGGGCCCTTAATCATGTATATCACATTACCACGTTGAGTAGTGACTTCAAACAGAAAAGACCCAGCTAGTACCTACTAATTAAGCCTATTTATGGACATAAGCAAAGCAAAATATCTATGTTCCCCAACATATATATATATTTGTAACCTTAATTATACTAGTGTAAGACTGATGGGATTTATGACAGGAGAAAGGCAGTTGTGTAAGTGAGGCAGCAGTTTGCTTGGTTTCAGTGACACATTGTTTGTCACAGAACCACAGGAGGCAGCCAGCCACTGCTAATGTAACAGAACATACAGCCCAGAACTACCAGCTGGATCCCCTTAAGGTAATGACTGATTCCTGAATGCTGCAGCTTTGTAGAAGGAGGTGGCAGGATAGAAGAATACCATTGTTGAGTTCCTACCACATCTCAGGTGCTCCACTGGCCAGTATATGAAATATTATTTTATAGCAATCCATGAGATAGTCCTAATATCGCACCCATTCTGCTGGAAGTAAATGAAGCTTAGAAAGGTTAAGTGGCTTTCCCAAGATCTCAAAGCTAGTTAAGTGAGAAGAGCTGGGATTCAAACCTAGGCTTGGCTGGCCTGGTTGACACTTGCTTTTAGCTTTTATATGGCACAACTGCTTTGTACTCTAAGGCATTGCTTATCCAGAATGTGGAGAGCAGATCAGGCCAGTTAGCCTTGTCTTTAAATTCTAGAAGTACAAAGTGATGGGGTAATTGGTTTCTTTGGTGAGTTTAAACTAGGGAGGAGGACAGAAATGATGCAACCTTCTGCATGGCTACTTATGGAGCCGCTCTAATTGCCCCATTCACACTGTTAGCCATTTAAAACACATTTGCTGAGAAAATATTTCATAGTAAAATGAACAGAAATGTCCTAGCTAATGATGGTATTCTTCAGTGGCTAATTACTCCCTTGACTGCTTTATAATTCGAGGCCAGGTTCTGGGGCATTATGCATAAGTAAATTACATAGAACTAGAAAAATGAAATGTAAATGCGTTCATGTGTTCATTGACTAATACTGACCGAGGACCCCCTATGTGTCAAACACAAAGCAAGGGCATCAGGGGTGCAGAAATGTCTTTAGTAAGAGGAAAAATAAGAAGACAAAATTAAAGACAAGGTGCAGGAGTGTCTAAAGGTTGTCTGTGTTATTGGTTGGTTGACCATGACACAGTTGATCTTGAAATCATTAGCTTCCTCTAGTGCTTTTGAATACAGAAAGGTAAGGCAGGGAGCTAGTGAGAAATTAAATGTGCTGTTCTGATAAGGCTCTCACCATGCAGGATTACTTCATAGACATTTATTAAGCATCTGCTTTGTGCATGGAATTTTGTTAGGTGATGGGTGTTCAAAACTACTTAAGACATAGTTCTGAAGTCTCAAAAAAGTCACAGTCTAGTTGGTAGACAGACCTGTAACTGAATAAATTTCACCATAGTTAACACTTCACTATAATGTGAACATTGGAAGGGCTGTGAGAAATTAGCTAGTCCGATCCCATTGATTTAGCAATGAAGAAATAAAGTTGAGGGAGGCTTACCCAGCTATTTAATTAATGGAACAGCCGGAAGCAGACTCTAAGGTCATCTACTGCTAAATCTAATATTCTTTCTGCCATACCATTCTGTCCCCCAGTAGACCCTTGCAGACTTTCACTCTAAAAGCACCATTAGGGTTTTGCAAAGACATAGTGAACTTAAATTGGATAGCTATTTCAGACTTTCAAACCTGCTACATTTTAGGCGCATGCCAAGTGGATGGGGGGAGTACATTTTATGTCATTATCATTCAGAAGGAAAGTCCGTGGCTGTCAAAGGTGCTCGGTGATGCAGTCCCTTTCTCTTTTGACCATTAAGGGCCTGATTGCTCCCAGCTCCCAGCTGGTTATGAGAGCGTGAAGTTGGCCATCCCCCGACAATGCCTGAACTAAACCAGAAAGCATATGTAAACTCTGCCTTCTTCCTGTTTTATGATTGCTAAGTCTAAGTAATAGGTGTCAAATGGTGGGATGGGGGAGTCGTTGGCCAGGTGTGCTCCAGCCCATATTCTACACAGGCCAGAAAGGGGCAGGGCCATTGATTGGGGTGAGGGAAGTGAGGGCTGGGTAGATTACAGAATGCTGTTTGTGTTAACAAACCCACAGAATGCCCCAAAGCAAGAGCTGATTTGGAACTAAAGCATAAATAAGATTCTTCTGGAGCACTCCCATCTGGCTGTTGTGATGAAACAGAAAGCCCTGCCAGGTGGTCCTGTCTGAGGTTCAGTTGTGGTGAGAGACCTCTTCAAAATGTGCTTTTCCTAAGCTGTGCGGGAAGATTTTTAGCTAGCTATAAGTTGGGGGGTGGGTTCTGCGATAGGGACTTTCTCAGTTGTGTTTGTGGCTACTATCCACCTCAATATGCAGGTTGTTTTGGTCTTTAAAGTGAATGTGACACTGTTTGAGTTTTATAAGTATGGCATTAGTGTTTTAGTTTCTTCTAGGCTAGTTCTCAATCCCTCAGACTACCAAGTGAAGACATGCAGGCAAACGTTGGGCTGTTGTCCCTGGCAGGACCTCTTGAGGTAGTGGTAAGTGTCCGGATCCCACAGTTACTTGGGGGAATTTGTTAAACTGATTCCCAGAGTCCACCCCTGTACATTCTCATTCCATAACTCTGTGGAAAGTCCAGAGATCTTGTCATTTAAATAGTGTCCCAGTTGATTCTGATGCTCGCCTTGGACCAAATCCAGCCACTTTGTTTGGAAGATAAAGAAAGTAAGGCCCAGAGGTTGGAAGTGAATGGCCTAAACGCCACAGACACTTTTCAGCAAAGCTAGGTCAGGTTCTTCATCTCTAAAATGTGATTGACACGTGGAGATTAAGTGAAATGATAGGCAATCCCTAGTCCAGAATCGTTTCTCGTGCTATCATCCTAAGTGCCAGGTGGACAATGACTTTCTCTTACAGCTTTTTTGTTTTCTGCAGTGCTGGGGATCAAACCCATGACCCCTGCATGCTATGCAAGTGTTCTACCATTGAGCCACAACTCCAGCTCTTTATTTTTAAATGTCATGATCTCCCCCTCCCTTCCATTCTCCCTCTTTCCCTTTCTCTGTCTCTGTCTCTGTCTCTGTCTCTCTCTCTCTCTCTCTCTCTCTCTCTTGTGTTTTTACTGCAGAGATATTGAATGAAATGCCAGTATGTGAAAATATATATGAAATATATGTGTGTACATGTGGGGAATGAGAGAAGAGAGAGGGAATGAGGGAGAGAAAATTTATATTGAAAAATCCAAGAACGTAATAATAATAGTAATGGACTGTGAGTAGATAAATTTGACTCTTAATATACATCTTGGCCCAAAGTGAGTTTTAAGTCTTTAACAGTATTTGGGTGAAAATACCACCAATAAATTTATTTTATTGAATTCCACATTTTATACCTTGAAGCAACCACAAATATGTAGTTTGCAATATGTATACTTTCAACATTGTTGTTACATCCAAATTGCTGACTACCAACAGCTATTTGTGATGCTGGGGATGGAACCCAGGGCCTTGCACATGCTAGGCATGTGCTCCAGCACCAAGCTACATCCCCAGCCCCCTATGCAGCTTCTTTTCAAAATTCAACTGTTTTTATTCTGAAATCCATTTTGATTGTCATTACCATATACCTATGTTAGACTACATGCACAGACATTGTACATTTCATGCATAATTTATCTATTTATTAAATGCATAATAATCAGTATACGCGATGTTTATTCCTCTCTCAGAAAGTTTTCCAAAACTTTCTGTGATTTCATTTACTTTCTTTACCCCTGCAAAGTAATTACTCACATTTCCTTACATGGCCATTTGCACTTGGACTTTCTATATTGATTCACTCCAGCATGTCTTTGTTTCAGTGCTTCCTCTCCACAATTCCATTACCTTGGCTTATGATAATACCTCACTGAATGTTGTGTAAAATTGCAGTCCACCCATTTCTCCCTTTATTTTCTTATTTATCTAGCATTTACTTGTGGAAGCACTCTGATGGATACTAAGGATCATAGGGAGTGTCTGGAAAGATTATAGTGAATGACTCTTGCTGCCTTCAGTGGTTATTTTGGCTAGTAGATGGTAGAATTAAGATCCAAGGCTGGATCTGTCTGACTCCAAAGCTCTTGCTCTTACTCTGTATGGCTCTTTCAAATTGTTCCACTCTCTCTTCAGGAGAATCTTCATTCCCCAAACCCAAGCTAAATAGGTTTTTATTATATTATTTAATGTCCTGTATTACTCCCTACTGTTTTTCCAGCTGCACAATCAGGTTTTGAATTCATTCTCCCTCTTTGGAGACTCTTGTTCTAGCATTTCCCGATGAAGTACTAAAAGGCATGAGATTTTTCATCTTCCTAACC